GCTCTGCCCTTTTAGTCGTGTGGTAGACAGTCTAACACTTCACTGTCAAAGGTTTCATTACTCTGAGGAAGTTTGAGTGGTTCCGGTACTTACAGATATAACATGGTTATTCTCACCGTTTACAGTATTTAATGGGCTCAGGGCCAAACTGTAACCAATGGAAACTCGGCCCTCATTGGACTAAGAGTCAGCTGACTCCACATTCCCATGGTCCCTCCAGAGAAGGGCATCGAAGTCAATCTCTGAAAACACACGGCAGAGAAAATGTTTGGACAAAAGCTCAGCTGAGCATCATGGGAAGAGCATACATGATACTATTAAAGGGATAGTTCAGACGAAAAATTTCAATTCTGTCATTTACTCATCCTCATGTCATTCCAAACTCCAAACCTGAATGACATTCTTTCTTCTGTGGAGCAGAAAAGAAGATATTTTTTAAAAAGGTCTCAGTATTTCTGTATTTTCCATACAGTGAATGTCAGTGGTGTCCAGTGTTGATTTAAAACCCCATTGTCTTTCATTGTAATGCCATTCAGAAATAAAACTTTACTTTTAATGTTACTTCATCTATTTTTTAAATTTTTGGGGAAATCAGTAAAGAAAAAATCTACTATAGAGTAAAACAGATTTGTTGTACTGTATGTGCTCAGATTTGAGTATGAAAAACATGTTGTAGGACGTTCTTTGTGGGTAAGAAACCAAAGAAACTTCTTGTGAACATACCAGAACTACCACATTTTGCTATAAGTTTGATTGCATCATATAATAATTGTTGTTAATAGTGTTCATCGTCTGTTTGATTACGTCTTTAATTGATTTTTCCGTACATTTCTGCCATATGTACATTAACTGACAGTCACCACTGATAAGCTACCACTAAATATTGTAGAAACTTAATTTGCTGTAAAGTTGCTTTGCAACGATTTGTATCGTGAAAAGCGCTATACAAATAAACTTGAATTGAATTGAATTGAATTGAACATGGTGTTGGTGCCAAGTAAAGCCACAAGCTGTCTTGGAAATGTTTGCTGTTTACATTAAATGTATACGTGTTACAACCACATTTTATTCCTAAAAAATAGTAATGCCATCAAGTAGTTTATACTTTACAACTTCGGATCAAATTAGAGATGTCATTACCATCATAAAGATTAAAGGGGTCATATAATGCAATTTCAATTTTTCCTTTCTCTTTGGAGTGTTACAAGCTCTTGGTGCATAAAGAAGATCTGTAAAGTTGCAAAGACTAAAGTCTCAAATCCAAAGAGATATTCTTTATAAAAGTTAAGAGTCAACCACGCCTACCTAAAACGGCTCGTTCTAACATGCCCCTACATGTCTACATCACTATGTGGGAAGCATAACGCCGCCCAAATGTTCATGCAAAGAAAGAAGGCATAATATGTACAGAATAATGTACAGTATGTGGAAAATAATGTGTTTTTTAACCTTAAAACGCAGAAACACATTTCATTACACCAAATACACAAAATTATGTTCTTTTTAGCAACATCATATGACCCCTATAGCTGAACTATAAAGATCAGCTGATAATGAATATATTGAACACTGAACACATGTTATGTCCAGCGAACTTGTTTTGTTTGTTTGTTTGATGTCTTTGTCAGTGATTTTATCTTTCATACAGAAGGAGTTTTTCTCAGAAGTTATTTATGCATGCAGAGATGGATAGATGTTATCTGCCTCTGAGGAGGCAGTCAGGAATGTTTGTTTAAATCCTGCCTTCCAAAGCTATGACTTACTATTGTGTAAAATACATAACATCTCTTATAGCATGTCTTACTCTCACAGTAATTGCAGATATGTTCTGTTACCAGTGACTTAGTAATAATGGCCAGTTATTAAAATATATATAATAATAATAGACAGTTTTATCATAGCAGCACCAGCGTGAATGTCACCTTATCTTAATGTTTGGTGTTGGTATGAATGCAAAGTAGGAAAGCTAAAAATGGATTTCCTTCGACAGTATATGTGGAAAGGTTTGTTTCATGGTTGTTGATAAATGACATGTCTTTTTTCTCAGATTTTAATTTAAAATCTACGTTTCACAATTTTTATTCAGTAGCTGTTTTGCAGTTCTTGTAATGTGAAAAATAAATGTTTAAAAGTATAAATATTCATGTTGTACTCCTATTATTCCTTTATAGTTTCCTAATTAAGTTAACAAAAATTTTGCATAATAATTATAAAACAATCTGAAAAATGTTAGATGTTTAAATTCATAAGAACATATCACTCTGCTATGAAATTAGTGTCACTGCTTAAAATTTCAAGTGACCTATCCATAAATGAATGTCATTCAGCTCATTGTGCGTGCTAGAGAAAACTGATTGTCTGCATTAGTCATGACAATAAGTAAGCTAGGGTTACTTTAATTATTTGATGACATGACAGATATATATTACCTAGTGTTGCATCACTGTGCTGAATTGGGCCTGTCCTTTCCTAAAGGCAGGGCAAAAACACTACGGTTCCACAGTAAGAGGAACGTAAACATCCCCACCATACAGGCTACGAGATGAAACATCAACATGCAATGAGTAGTTTTATTGGTCATTGCACTAGATTAGAAACTAGAGAAGTTTATATTTAACCAGTAAGGTACAAGAGGCTGCATCATAAACAGTCACGAATGAAGGGTTTTGACTAGTCTTGCATAGCCAGACCTTCAGACTGACGGCAGAAGGTCTGGGAACCTTGGCCGCTTTGAATGGCCAAGGACCGCCCAAGAGGCCATATGACTGACAGGTAAAGCAACCAATCACGTTTCATTTTGTGAAACAATAACAATAACAGACTGGTGTGTAAAACTACCAGTCATACCGGTATATGCCATGAACTTTACATTATTCATCATACTTTTGAAAATCCAGCGCTTAGTTGATCCTGATAAGCGCTCATTGTCACAGCTGTGAACATGACAGCTTTCTTCTAACATGAGGGGGTTTGGCGTCACGGCCTTTTTTTTTTCAGATGGAACATTAAAGAACGTCACGTCACACACACGTCTCCCGGAAATCCTATATAATTCAACCAATCAGGTGACGACTTCAAAACTCCTGAAGTGTTTCCAATTTTGTGTGCCATCAGATGTTCAGCCAGCAGTCCGTGGGTGTGACGTCTAAGACTAAGACTAGGTTTTGGCGGCAAAGTCCCTGATGCCCCTTTATTTCTGACAATAATCCCAGTACAGCAAAGCATTAAGTGAAATTTATATATATTTATACAACAGTTCGTTCTGGTTCTCAACTTGGTTGAGAACCGTGAGATATTGTACTGGCATCGCTACAGGAATGTCCTTTCACAATTTTGTATCACTCCGCTTGTTCTAGCCGGGTCTATGTTTTTTTTTTTTATTATTCACTGAGCTAATCGTAGAGTACATTAGTTAATATAAGAAGAAACGTCTAGCTTCGCGGTCTCTCTCTCTCTCATTTGAATGCACATCTTGCCGCATTGTTTCTCTCTTATAACCTCATTATTTCTCACTAATAACCTAACTGAAGCAGCACATGCCCTTGATACAAATTCTAAAAGTGACATATGTTTAACTGTCAACTTGAGCTTTGAATCCGTGGCGGAAGGAAGTAGTTCCGCACAAAAGAGGGTTTTATTAGGCACTCCGTTGTTTCTTGTTTAATTACACACATGTTCTGTCGAACTGTTGTATAAACTCAGAATCACTCTCGTACTCGAGTGATATTTCTCATATATATATATATATATATATATATACTGTATATATATATATAGACTAATCAAAATATATAGTCCCTGATGCAAATATACAATAATTCACTTATATGTGTGCTGTGCAGTGATATAGCTATATTGAATGGATGTTTCACATCATAGCTGTTTGTATTTCCTGTATTTTTGCACGGCTAGAATGCTCTGTTGACCAATTAGTATCCAGGACCAGAACTTTCCCTTTTATAAGATGCTGCATACTATTCATAAAACATTGTATAATCCATGGGGTTGCTCAAACATGGGACACTACAAGTTTAATCTCCCATCCTCAGCTCATTGTTGCATCACATAAATGTCATATTTGATCCCTTTGAAATTTTAAGTATGATGACCAAATTTTTATGTGAACAGGAGAGTGACTGTTAGTAAGTTAACCAACAACCAACACTCACTCATTTGTAATTTATACCATGAAATGAAGACAAATAGCATGTTTTTATATGACTAAATGGAATGCAGTTTGGCAAAAGGGAGTTTGATAGTTTATTTTGCACGCACCAGTGCTTTATAACCTTATGTGGAGTTTTGATGAGATGTTAGCCACACATGATAATCTATACTTTTTGGTTTCATTTCCTTTTTTGAGCTTTTTTCCAGTAAGGTCTGTTCTGTTGCAAGTCAATGCTATTCACAAAGAAAGTAAGGCTCTCATAGTCAAGACTGAGATGCCCAGTTTGCTGCTGACCCCTGGAGGGTGTGTGGGTAGAGTGACAAAGCCTCCCCATTCACCCGACAGCCCATGACGTATCCTTGACCTCAGCCTGCCGCTAACTATCCTAACACAGACACAAAAGACCAAATAGTTCGGATGTCGTCAACAATTACCATAACATTCAGAGATTAGCCAACAGATTTTTAGGAAATAGATGATTTTGTTATGAAACCTACTTGGTTTAGTGTGTGTAACATATAGCTCATATAGCTCGCTCTTGAGATCAGAGAAGCACAGCATATGGCTTTTACAGGCACAGGAGGTTCACCTTTGTGCTGTTAACCATTAGTAATGTTAATTTCACTTATGTTGCCAAAATGCAGATAATCCTCAACTAAATCAAATTGTAAACATATTAATTCTCTCTCTCTTTCTATCTCTCTCTCTCTCTCTCTCTCTCTCTATATATATATATATACAGTGCAGTACAGTGCAGGAGAACTTGTGCACTACCATGATGCTTTTCTTTATTACTCTAGCTAACTACAGTATGTTGTGTGTGTGTGTGCAGTGCTGGAGCAGCTGTTGGAGCAGCTGCAGAGGTTCCTGAAGATCCTGGATGGAGAGAAGCTGAGTGGAAATGCCACAGTACAGAAGGGCCTTCTGACGGAGCTGCTTCAGTCATACAAGTCTTCCAATGGTACGTAAATAACATCATAATGTCTAAACGAACCATCTGACTCTACACCAGTGCTTCTCACACTGTGATTGGACAAAAAGGACCAACAATGAATGAATCGGCTAATTTTTTAGTATACTACATTTCAGTAGTTTGGGGTCGGTACGATTGTTTTTGAAAAGTCTCTTATGATAATCAAGGCTGCATTTATTTGATCAGAAATACAGTAAAATAGTAATATTGTGAAATATTATTACAGTTTAAAACTTTTTTCTATTTATATATATATTTTAAAATGTAATTTATTCTTGTGATAGCAAGGCTGAATTTTCAGCCATTACTCCAGTCTCCAGTGATCCTTCAGAAATCATTCTAATATACTGATTTGGTGCTCACGAAACATTTCTTATTACTATTAATGTTGTGTTGCTTAATATTTTAATGGAAATCTTTTGTAACATTATAAATGTTTTACTGTCCTTTTATGGTTAAATTAATGCTTCATTGCTAAAAAGTGTTGATTTCTTAAAAAAATCTTACTAACCCCAAACGTTTAAACAATAGTGTAATGATTACCACAAATTTTTTATTGTTAAATCAGGTTTGCCCCCTGAAAAAGTATAAGAACCTATGGTTAATGCACAATTATATTACAGACCTTATTGTGTGCTGCTCATGTGGGAGCACTCTACTGGTGTAAATAGAAAGTAGCAAAAGGCCTAACAAATGTACAGTTGTATATACAGTATATGTATTTCAGCATGACACTTGCATAGCACAATTGTCCTTACATGGAGCAACAGTTGTGTGTACATTTATAGCTTCTGTGTTGTTTAGAAAATCTGCTCTGTTCTGTCTTATTAAGGAGCCTGTAATTTTGGTCCGTGCATGTGCTTCTTTCTTCACACAAGCATGGCTGTAGGTTTTTCATGTTCTGGTCTCGGGCTTGTGCACTTCCTCCCCTGGCTCCAAACTGTATCATTTTCCAAAGGCTGTTTTTATCCTCTAGGGACACTCACTTCCTTTTAGTAGCAGCTTATAAATAGCTTTCATTTCCATCCTCCAAATCCCAATCTTATTTTCCCTCCAAAAATGCATCAAAGCTGTGTTACCTGTGGACTGCCATGTTCCATGTATCTGCCATGGTAACATCTTGTTCCTTATGCTTAATTTAGTTCATCTGAATTATTTTGAAGATCCAAAAAACACCCTAAAATGTCAAGTGCTATAAAACCATCTCCTACAGGCCGGGACTAAATCAGCACTTTTATTATGATAGAAATGACCTATCTATGTCTATGTCTCCCACTGGCCTGTCTTTGATGTGCACAGAAGGAGGGGCCCTGGAGATGCCTTTGGACCCTTACACAAGAGAAGTTTAGCACAGAACTCTCACTGTTCTTCTCTATAACAGAAATCTACTACATGTTCAGTAAAATAAGTGAGGGATGAAAGTGTCCAGAATCTGAAAAAGAAGGAGGGGGAGGAAAAGTCAAACAAGTTCTAGAAGTTCCAGGCAAGGTTATTTGAGTGGAGCAGAGTATATTTTATATGTTATAATGTTGTGGTACCTAGTGTTTTTCTATTTTATTTATTTAGAGAAAATATTGTATAATTTTAATATCAGCCATTTATTGGTTATAGGTCATAACATGAGGGTCATAACAAAATAATTAATGGCTTATCCATATCAGCCTGTGACACTTAAAGTCATATTTTAAGTGTAAATTACAGCCTAACAATTCATAAATAGTTTTACTTTTTGGCAAATTGGTGGTGAACTCATATGAATTTGATTTAATTCAGACGTTTTCGCATGGGTGGGGTTGGGGGTGCAAGTTCATGCTTAGTTTTTAAAAAAAATTTCTACCAATCACATCATACTAATTTGTACGAAATAACTTAGTAAAATGCGTATGCTTTCTCATGAGATGGGGTTGGTAATTTAAGTGTCCAGATACTTTTTGAGCACCAAACTCAGCACATAAAGCTATGATCTTGGCATTATGTGAGTTTTTAAAAAACAAGATTCAGATTTGTAATTCAGTCTTTTATTATGGCTATTTAACAGGAGGAGATGAAGAATACATCTACATGAACAAGGTCATCGTCACATGTCAAAACCAAGACAGAGGTGAGTCTATAATCTTCACCATAATAAACTTATAACTTTTGCAGGTGTGAGGATGAAAATGGCCCCTGACCTGCAAACATGTCTGTCACATATCACATAAACAGTTGTTTATCTTGCTGTTTGACAGCGCTGCTGTGAATGTGTGTCATTTTTAGGGGGGTGATTGGGTTATGGCTGAAATGTTAAGCCCCCCTCCCCCCACTCCTCACCATTTCCTGTCTGTTTCTCAGTAACTCCTGTCCTCCTCTCGCTCTCTCTGCCAGACCCCCATCTGAGGCCAAGCTGCTTTGTTTAGATTTCACTGAAGAATGAGAGTAACAATAAAACCAGACTTAACATTCACATTGCAGTCGTCTGCGCCAAAAAGATACATGCATGACTAAACTGTGGTGGCATTCTTTGATCAAATTCACAAACGTCACCATTTTAATAAACAATGGTAAAAGAGCTTATCAAGAGAGCAACCCTTTGAAGTTCATGCAGAAAGAATGTCTTTCTATTATTTATGTCATGCACAATGATTTCATCATTTCCAGACTGGATGTGAAAATTTCCCCAACCTTGTTTTATTTTGCATCTGATAAATGAAACTGCATATGATAAAAATGAAGTGCGATATGTCACTTATGTGACACAACATGCAATTCAAGAGCTCACGTAGACCAACAGAGAAATGTAAGTGGTGTGGATAAATTTAATTTCAGTGAAAAGCAGCACTTCATGGTGTCTTGACTCTTTGGTGACTCTTAGCCCTTGCTGTGCGGATTTGGTATTCGCCTTGCGTTCCTACGGCAACCCAGATGTTACCGTTTGGAGAGGAAGTCGAAGGAATGTCTGATGGGAAGCCACTGAATATGGCCATCAGCTCTAAGAGACTCTAAGAGACTGCCGCAGGCTATGCAATGTTACCAGAGCTGAGCCGCTAGCATATCCAAACAGTGGTACACTCTTAAAAATAAAGGTGCTTCAAAAGGTTCTTCAAGCGATGCCATAGAAGAACCAATTTTGGTTCCACAAAGAACCATTTAGTCAAAGATTCTTTAAAGAACCATCTCTTTCTTACCTTTTTATAATCTGAAGAACCTTCTTTCGCCACAAAGAACCTTTTGTGAAACAGAAAGGATCTTCAGATGTTAAAGGTTCTTTATGGAACCATTTAGACAAAAAGGTTTTTCTATGGCATCGTGAAGCACCTTTATTTTTAAGAGTGTAGATGAACAGCAGAATTAATATGTTTACTTGTTGCTTGCAAGTACAGTTCTTCAATGCTTCTTATTGCTGCACTTGATAAACCCTTTGAAAAGTCTTCAATCTATTTATTAACAGCCACTTTTGTTCTGTGTGAAAATCAATATGCTCCTCAGACTACAGACCAGAAGCCAATGGAGAACCAGGTAAACACATCCCTGTGAAGAACCCACCAGAGCCTCCACCACCCAGACCAGTAAGTGACTCATTTAAACTTCATTTAAACGCTATTTACAGAATGACAAAGATACAAAAAGGTCAAAAATCAACACAGATTAATTTCACACTCAGTTTGTTTTGAGATGGTAGTATGACCAGTGCTGGGGGTAACGCATTGCAAGCAGTAGTGTATAAAGTACCTGAAAGCTATACTCAAGTAAAAGTACAGATATCTTACCAGAAAATGACTTTGGTAGAAGTTGAAGTCACCGTTTAGAATATTACTTGAGTAAAAGTCTTAAAGTATGTGTTATTTATTGTACTTAATCTTAAACGTACTTAAGTATTGAAAGTACAAGTAAATGCAAAATGGAAAAGAAGCAAATAAATATATATAAAAATGTTCATACACAGCTTGAGTAGCAAGATTGTGTTCAGTTTTAACTCTTTCTTCCATTTTGTATTTTTGGGTAAGAATAAGAAGCACTTCATCCGGTACTTAGTGTCTTTCATTCCAACATAAGAAAACATTTCTGGAATCTGCATCTGAAATAGCATTTAGATGTATTTACACAGTTTATGTATCTCAGAGGGGACATGGATGCATTTAAACTGCAGTTACAGATGCATAAATAGGCCTAATGTTTTGTTTTTATCATAAAACGTTATTACTGATATTTGAAATAATTTAAAACATGAAAAAAATAGTCGAAATGTGAAATTAAAACCGCCAGTAGGTGACAGCAAGTGACTGTTAATGAGTGAGTCGTTGAGATTCAACTGATTCATTCAAACGACTGATTCATTCAGGAACAAAGCGTTTGACTGTGTTAATGACTGAATCACTGAATCATTTATTCAACCGATTCGTTCAAAAAGCTGATTCATTCAATAATAAACACTGTCCATTGCTCAGAGACGCAAAACAGTGCTGTGATCTTTAGAACTATTTTCGTTGTCAAAATTGAGCAAAAACAAGCAATATTATGTCTAAAATGTAAGTCACTTATTGCTTTACTGAACTTGTATAAAATGATTATTAAATGTGTTCATGCTGATATCTGCAGTAAAAAAAACTGTATAGATTAAGTTAACTCTATTAAATTACATAAATATAAAAAGCATACAGAAGCAATGCCGTCTACAATTTAGAATGCCTGGAATTTTGAGTTTTAATAGACTAATAAATCACGTGCGTGCACTCTGTGTGATCTGGTGATATAGCCTACTTGATAATGTCAGATTGCACATCATTACAACAACACTTACCATATTATCACAGAAGATATTGTATATTGCAGACCCCAGACTCGACTTGAGTGGAAAATGAATGACTTGAGTGGTTGTGTGCGCACTTGTTTACACATGAGCAAAGGTGTTTTTAGGAGTCTAACTTGCAAAGGCTAGACTAGTGATGTTACATATGACACTGAAGCTTCAAAGTGCGTATCGGGTAAGCAGCGCAATATCTCAGAAGCTCTGTGCGTATTGTTTTCAGAGAATCACGTGATCAGCAGAAAATGAAGCCTCACTATCTATCCAATCACGTGCGTGTTTCGGAATGTTCGAAACCCCAGATCTTACTTTACGAGTAAGTTTTGATTCAGACTTATTCAATTACATTTTAAATACCCAGCCATACAAGTAATATGAAGAATAAAAACTAAAATATAAAATATTTGGCATATGCAATTCATATGTGTACATTATTCTTCTATTACATCATATTGATATTCATATTGGCATTTAATGCCACAGTTTAATGGGTAATTAAAGAGAGATCAGAGAGAGAATTTTAACAAACACACACACACACACACACACACTATTTCACAGGCTTTTGGTTGCTATATTTTTTATTGACCACCATTTACATTTACATTTAGTCATTTAGCAGACGCTTTTATCCAAA